TGATTTTGAAATACAGACTCCATGACGGTGAACACATAGAGCTGGTTTAGCTTATTAGTCTGGGTGGTAGACCTCTGTAGACCCCCCCCCCACACACACACATGCACACACAGGCCTCTCCTGCTGCAAAGAACATGTTGGGGCAGTTTGTTGAAAATGGACGGGCCTCACATTTCTCCTGAGGAAGAAACATCACCCAGCGGCGGTGTAGCTCGCTGGTGTGCACAGAGTCACAGACCTGTCCCTTCAAACAGGACTGAGAGGGCTGTGGTTCCCGTTTCCTTTTCTCTGCTCCACATCTTCCTCAGTGTCATGGCTGCTGCAAAACTTCCTCTGTTGGTTTGCACCCACACTCTGGTCTCTGTGATGAGGCCAGTTTCTAAAACCGGCCTCTGTTCCCTTCTGGTGTTTGTGTTCTGGTTCCTCTTCCTCTTTTCCCAGTGTGTTGCTGCTTTGACATAGTACTGCTCACTTTTTGTTTTGTTTTGTTTTGGAGTTTAGCCTTTAATGGTGTTTGTCAGGTAGCTGGGGGGTGCTGGTTTCAGGAGGGCTGCCTACTGCCAGATACTCAGTTAATGAGTAATACTTGTTATGAATATCTAGAGCAGCTAATCTCCTCAAACAGAACGGTGGGTGAAAGCGTTCACAGCTGAGCCGTGTTGCAAAGTGGCAGCAGGGTAAGTTTGATCTTTACAGGCACAAACCTGAGCCTGGTCCTGAACTGATCAAAGTCATGTCCAGTTAATTCAGCTTCCACAAGGTTGAGGTCTGAAAGTGTCTGCTGGGAGTTCATCCTTCTGCTGCTTTTACTTTCAATGTAGAACAGCACTCGTCAAACTAGAATAGCTGCTGGAGTCATTTTTAGTCACAGTGCCCGTCTCTGGAGATGACGTTCGAAGTGTGTCACTGAGTTATGTGTGTCGAGCCTGTGAGTCGGACTGTGGCATAAAACAGTGCTGATGATTAACATTCACACCATAAAATTAATGGGCAGTGACTTTGATAACATTTAGGTTTTATCTAGTTTTTAAATAATTTGCACAGCAGCAGGGAGCGAAGAGAACAAATGCGACAGAAGTCAGGAAGCCACAGGACCTGATTCTACAAAACAAATGAGGACCAACGTTTACAGATCACAATCAAACCATAACTTTATAAACTTGGTTTACTTTGCAATTCCAGATCTGTCCTTCACAACAACTAAGGGAATACAGTACCTATTTTCTGCCTTGTAAGATTAAATAAGGTGATTTTGTTTTTGTTGCTGTGCACAAACCCTGTCCAGAGACCAGCAGCACCAGTGAATGTGGTGTGCAGCTTAGAGCTCCACTGTTGTGCCACAGCTATTGAACCTCCCACCCCAGTGAGCCACACCGCTGCACTTGGTTTCTTCCTCAGGAGACATGGGAGGAGACGGGCCTCATACTTGTCCTGAGGAAGAAACGTGTTGCTTTGAAAATCACTGGCCTCGTTCTTATTGTAGCTGTGTAAATGCACTTAACTGTCTGTTGTAGGGGAATGTGATGTGTTCAGCTGTGTTTGTGCTGCATGTGTGAGGTGGCGCTGATCATCTCTGAGTGAAGAGACCCTATAGACACACATGACGTGACCAAGAGGAGGAGGGAGAAATGGGGAGGAACTTAGCTCTGAGGAAGATGTAAGGAGGGAGGCACAGAGGATGGGCTGGGTGGAATGCTTTTGGTCGACGCCTGTCCCTGATAAAGGGTATGGGAGGAATGTGACCCTGAAAGGACTGGATAAACAAAAGGAAAGGGGGTGGGTGGGGGTGTGTGGCAGGACTAATGTTCCAGAATGGGGTCGCAACACCAGAGATGACTTAGGAGGCAGGCTGAGCAGTGATGGACAGCAGCTGTGGCGCAGCCTGATGGAGGGGGGCTGGGGTCATGAGGACACTGTCCCTCTCTGGTTCTCACAGATCAGGGTTAATGTGTGAGTTCTGTCTCTGTCCAAAGACTGAGGTCTGTCACGTCTCTGTCAGTTTCTGAAAACCTCAGAGGGTGGAGCTTGTTGGGGGTATCGGCGGTTGATTTTTACACTTGGTAGAAATGCAAATGTTGTCACACGAGTCTTTTCCTGCACTGTTGTGTACAAGCAATTTACAGGTCTGAGCATGAGAATCTGGCTCCAAGACCTCGTCTCTCAGGGACACACAACTCCTATTATTTCAGACATGAGTGTATGAACAGGAGCTGACCTGCTGTGATTTATTTATCCCCCCCCGCTGTTTACATATGAGCAATGCAGTATATGCGAACATGTGTGTGTGTGTGTGTGTGTCAGATGTTGTTGTTCCCTGTGAGACGAGGCGGCGTTGAGAGCAGCTAAAGACCCTGGAGCTGCAGGGGACCATGTGTTGTGCTCCCGCTGTGTTGGAGTGGTTTCTGACGTGCACCAGAGTGGGTCTTCACTCACTGTAGTTGTGTAGCTTGGCTCACCTGCGCTCTCGAACCGGTTGTACTTGTTCGGTTTCCTTTTGTATGGGTCAAAGTGCAGCACTCCCTAACAACATGTTGTTTATGAGCATTTACAGGTGCATTCAAACAAGAACTGAGCTTGTCTATGTGCCTGGCAGGAAATGGCTGCAGGCGGTGTCTAATGCAAAACATTTGTGTTCACTGGTCTAGTTTGACAACTTCTCTACCACATCAACCCGTTCATGGCTCCCTGCAGCCCAACAGTCAGTGACCAACACAGTGCAGCTGCATGAACTAAGTAAAGAGCTCAACACACGGGCTGAAGAATGTGAACCATCATGTACCTTGTCAGCACATGGTAGTCGGTTTATTAGGAACACCTGTGTCAAACCAAGTTGGTCTAATCCAAGACTTCTGGAGTAAACCCTGCTCCGTGAAGGTGGCGATGTTCAGACAGTTTCACCTGTGTGGTGACTGTGGAGGCTGTAGTTTGTGCTGCTGTTCACCTGGACTGGGTCACACAGAGTTGTTCCTGGTATTTGGCCTCAGTGGTATAATGATATAAATGATGGCTAAACGGCAGCAACAGCTCTCGGTATGATGCAGCATAAACTCTATCCTCCACAGTGAAAGATTCTGAATATTATCACCTTCATGGAGGAAGAGTTACTGCAGCACTGTGTGCCTAATAACCTGCCACCTGGTGTACAGGTGTGATTGTTGCCTGACTGTTTGGGCTTCCAGCTGTGACCCTCTAAGACTACAGAAGCCTTCTAGCTCCAGTTTCTGTTGCTGCCTCCAGAAAGTCACAGCTGTGGCTGTAGTTTCTGATGAACCAGGGATATAGGAAGTGCAGTGGAGCAAACTGGTCATTGATTGATTGATCGATAGTATTAAAGGTGGGGTCGGTGATTCTTTACAGAAGCATTGTTGTTACATATCTTGAAATTCTCTTTTCATCCAATGGCAATGAATATGTTAAATACGCTGACACCATAAAGAAAAATATCCGTCACCTGTGGCAGCAGCAGAGCCGAAAAGCACCTAATCTTACTCGGCCTGCACAAAACCATTGTGCGCCCTACCTGCCTGTCAAACTAATTTCACTTGCCCTTGCACTCGGTGCCATAGCTAGTCTCTCACATGGCGTTGCAGACATGTTGCCACTGTTTTGATAGCTAAAGCTAGCGAGCTATGGCAGAGAAGGTTCCCACAGCAGCTTTGAGCGCAGAGACCATTGTTACAGGCCAGGCCTTCCCCTTTAAGGCACATGGCCTTATGGGTAATGTTGCTTTTTATTTCTGATCGACAGGTAACTGTAATCTCTAAGTAGTAGTCAGGCAGTGCACGTTGTGCTTTGTAGAGACGTCACAATGGAAGAGGGCGATTTCTTCAGTTGTCTACTTTAAAAATCGAGCTTTCTCTTGCTGATTGTCCAGACCTGCCTCTAAAAACAAGCATACACCTCATTAGCTTGCAGTTAGCCTGCTCTTAACAGAAGAGTAGAATAAAAAGAGAGGGAATGCTACAAAGAGGCTAACTTTATAAAGTGGTAATGCAGTGAATCAGGTCACCACTAGTTTAAAGGCTCTTCTACACAGAGGTTCTATTAAACAGACTCTTCTTTTTGCAGCTTTGCCTCTTACCCTCAGCTAAATTAACCTGGTGTAATGTTGCCCCGTCTTCTTACACAGATGGCTGCATGACATCTATGAATATAGCATGCACGTTGGTGCTTTCAAACCAGTAGTGGTGAATGATCAAAGCAGGGATGTGCTTTTGCTCGACCTCCACAGTTGGGACTTCATTCAGACTCAGAGCTGTTGGCTCACAGTGTTCAACTTTTTAGTGATTATTGTCCTGAATTCTGTTTCTTGCAGTGTTAAAATGTACGTCTCAGTTCTTCTGCTGAGTACAGAACTCGTCTGTTACTTGGTCGTTCTTTCCAGTTACAGTTGAGCAGAAAAAAACGCACACGCACAAGCTTGTGTCGTGATGTAGTTACTGGGTTTAGATCCTGGGATTACTTGGCTGATAAGGGCCATAAATCATGCAGAGGTATGTGCTATCTCTCCAAGATCACCAGTCAGCCCCCGCCCAGACTGGCACCCTGATAGACCTGCTCCCTCGCAGGCTCCCCCACAGCAAACCCAGCTGGAGGCTCCTCTGCTGGGCCGTGAACTCTGATGCTGCTCAGATGTTTGTCCTCTCTGGCCCGGGTGGTCCAGCAACTGCAAATCTGAAGTGTTCGCTGCATTTTGTAACATGGGGTTTTGTTTTATGTTGACCCGTCTTAACTTTTCCTGTCGTCCGTCCCCTCAGCGGTGACCTTTGCATTCCTCAGAGTCCATGTGAAGATGGAAGGATAGCAGAGGTCTGGTCCTGTAGACCATAACCACGCTGGCCCTGCTGTTTTTCTGCCAGATGTTACAGAAAGCTTGCAGCTCTACACAAATATATTTTCATTTTACTAACATTTAAATCTGAATGAATCGGCTCATTTTTCATGGCTTGATGTCTGGTTTCTGACCACACACACACGGTTTTCCTCCCTCTCTGTTACAGCTACCATGTCAGACGCAGACAAGTTCCTGTACGTGGACCGTAATCTGGTCAACAACCCACTGGCACAGGCGGACTGGGCCTCCAAGAAGCTGGTATGGGTGCCATCAGAGCGCCTGGGCTTCGAGGCCGGCTCGGTGAAGGAGGAGCATGGCGATGAGTGTGTGGTGGAGCTGGCGGACTCTGGTAAAAAGATCAGGGTGAACAAGGACGACATCCAGAAGATGAACCCGCCCAAGTTCAGCAAGGTGGAGGACATGGCCGAGCTCACCTGCCTGAACGAGGCCTCCGTGCTGCACAACCTGAAGGAGAGATACTACTCTGGACTCATATATGTGAGTGTTGTCATTAAATTTTTTGTTTGTCAGGGAATGTGCACTTGCATCAGTGAACATAAATGTGTTCCATTTAGCTAAGAAGGTTAATTTCAGTCTTTAGTTTCTGGGCAGTTTGATGTTGGACATTAATAAAGACAATAAACATCAGTCTGTATTATAAAGTGAGCAAACTTGACTTCAAGGCAGAGACAGAAATGGAACAACACGATATGTTCACACATGCACATCCTCCGAAGAAGCAGGCAGCACCAGACGGCGCGTACATCGCGTACACAGCAGCCTCGGTGGAGACGTCCCGAGCTGCTGACCGAGCAGAACTGTAGAGATGAGGTGTGTGCTGCTTTACCCGCAGTTGGCTTTCAGCTCTAAACTAGAATATAACCAATACAGTTTGTTTACACATCAGTCGCCAGCCACCCTGACCTGCAGGTCTGTGGACTGTGGGAGGAAGCCAGACGAAATCCATGAAGGCAAAGGGAGAGAATTAAAGAAAACATCCAACAGAGCATAGCGGCTTCCCAGAGGCGACGGCAGCAGACTCTGGAGTAAACTATTGAAGTACTGGCTCAGACTTGGTATCGATAGAGACCCAATACTAACGTGTTTGCTGGATTTTAATATTGCAGCGATGCATGAGGCTAGTTTTAGCTTCTCTCCTAGTTATGGTTCCAGTGTGAGCTTTTCCCAAGATGTTTCTTTGGGCTCTCTATTGAAATTGGAAACATTAGGTCTATGCTATGTGTTCCAGAAGAAGCCAATAAAAACATCTTCATGGCCAGTCTCCAAACCAGCTGATCTGCTAATTAATGATTCGTTCTGTGCAAAGAAAGCATGCTCATACTTGGCAGCGGTGCCTTTTCTCTCTCCCTTCCTCGTCTTTCTCTGTTTGGAGTTATTGTGTAAACAGGAAGCTGCAGGGAACAATCCACTATGGGAGATGTGATGGCCTGGGGGAAGCGTAGAGGGACGTCAGTCCAGCTTTTGCACAAATGGACATGGAATGTAAACTGTTACAGCCATTACTGCCCCCATAATAATGTGATTTATCCCCTGTGTTCTGTGCCGGGAGTAATTTAGATGTTCTGACTCTGTGGGTTGACCTGGTCCTATCAACACAGCCTGCTGTCCCCTCCCTGGCTCCCCCAGAGATCCAGGCTGCAGCTGGTTGCAGAGATTGACCATCTCTTGTGGCAGAGCGGGCGCACACCAGGGGCGCAGGGCTGCTCATAGGGCGGCACAGGAATGAAGCACACGGGGAAGACGTGTTAAATGATGGTAGAAAAGCTGATTCTACTGCTCAGATCTGAGATAAGAGTTGGCTAGCCTGTCAAGTAGCTGCACCTTTACAGTGTCGGAGTCACTCATGAGTTGAATCTTGTAGCAGGGTGGGGCTGAGATTCCATAAACCAAATCGGGGTTCATGAGAAATGTTTTTAAAATGCATCTCTCTGTTCTGCAGACGTACTCCGGTCTCTTCTGTGTCGTCATAAACCCCTACAAGAACCTGCCCATCTACTCGGAGGAGATCGTTGAAATGTACAAGGGCAAGAAGAGGCACGAGATGCCGCCTCATATCTATGCCATCACTGACACATCGTACAGAAGCATGATGCAGGGTAAGTCGCTGTGGGACGGCCACCTGAGCATCCTGAGCTGCAGACTATTGCACATGCACACAGGCAGTGGTGCTTTCTCTTACAAAAACTGAGCACTGCACGAGTGGTTTTTATATCAAGTTTGGGCCATAAACTAAAAGACACAGGGGACAGGCGTAGAGTATTGGAGTATTACTTGTCCCAGTGGCCTTAGAAAACACAGAAGCTCTCGATCTAACCAAGAAAACGTATATTTGAGAAAGGAAGCTCGTTTATCACTGGTTTAAATCTGCAACAGCCTTTTTTTGGTTTTGTTCTTGAGACTGATGGAACTCAAGTCTAATTATAAGGTTGTACTTGGCAGTGATTGTGTTCCCCCTTTCAGACGTGCACTGCAGCCCAAACTCAGCTAGACATTACCAGGAGAAGCTGTACCTGGACACACAAGTGCCCGAGTCAGTTGGGCTGGACATTCCTGCCAACTCCCTAGTAGTCTGTAACGTCTGAATAGAGCAACTCATTGTCTGGAGAGTTCGCCCTGAGCTAGAGGGCGTTGATGATATTTTTTTCATGCGATACAAAGAGTGTGAACATCAGGAGATGTAACGGTGCTTCCTGCAGGCCTGCTGTTTGTTTCTTTCCCTCCTGTACATTCTGTCAGCTTTAGTCCTGTGTGGTGCACACCACCCAAACTGTCCCGCCGCTGCTCCTCCTGACCACATTACACGAGGCAGTGGGTAATTAGTCGTCTAGTTGAAAACCTGACGGCACCTTGTCCAGTCACAGGAAGCCGGATATTGACTTCCTGTCTGTTCTTCCTGTTGTACACAACAAATTGTGTTCGGTGCGGTGATGACGTTTGGTACTGTTACTATGTGGAAGCTGCATCGTCAACATTTGCACGTTTATTTTACAGATCGTGAAGACCAGTCCATCCTCTGCACGTGAGTCCGGACGCACACCGACATCACGCTGCTTCGAGTGCTTGTCAGTTTTATCACTGTTTTAGTCCTTCTCTCCATCCTTTGACTGTTTCCTCTGCTTGTCTCCTTTAGAGGAGAGTCTGGTGCTGGAAAGACGGAGAACACCAAGAAGGTCATCCAGTACTTGGCTCACGTGGCCTCTTCTCACAAGACCAAGAAAGATCAGGTCAGTCAACACAGCCTTCCTCCCACCCTTCTCCATCCTCCACTCAATCGATTCATCTCTCCCTTCACTCCCTTCACTCCCTGCTCTTACTCATCATTTTAGTTCTTTTCAAATGAGATAATCCCCCGTTTCTCACAATAGGAATAGTTTCCAGTTGCACAGCTTTTTGTGTTTGTGCCCCTGATTGTGTACATGATTGTTAATCCATCATCACACTGTTGTATTCAACCAACTTACCGTGTACAACAGAACTGAGTACAGCCTTGTGCAGGGTCACTGAAATGTTAAGTAATTCAGTATCATGTTATCTAACAATATTACTTCGAAGTTGAAGTGTAGGTAGCTGATCTTATGGTAATTATAAACAAACAGGTGAGAGAGACCACGGTGAAAATACAGGACCTGAGGTTTGGCAGTGACTCCACCTGCCATGAGTCTCAGTCTGAGTCTCATGAAGGAGGTTCTAAAGAACCTGTGACCACTGCAGCTTTCCCTCTGGCCTGGGCTGTGTCTGATGTGACTCCACATGGTTGAAACCATGCAACTAAAGATCTCATGGTTTCAACCATGTGGAGTCAACACGAGCGTTGGCAGCTGCAGCAGTGGTGAGGGAGGGACAGGAGGAGCTGGCTGCGCTGCCCCCACCAGGAGGAGCAGGGTCCGTCATAACGCTGCTCGGTTCACTGGTTACACAACTTTACCCTGGAAAAACTGGTTTCTGAAGCCAGTTTGAAGAAACCACTGCTGATAGCACTGCCAAAGTAAATGAGGGAGTTTGGTGTCGATCACGGTGACTGCAGAGAGCCAGCTGTGGACCATGGAGGTGGGAGTGTACTGGTGTGCAGGTACTGAGAGATGACATTTTACAGTTTGGCTCTAAAACCTTTCATTTGACTTGAATTAGTGGAACAATTGTTTTCACATGAGACGGCTTCATACTTTGGGGCTTTGGCTGAAAACAAACTTGCATCACATGAAGAGATATTGCGTAACGTTTCAGTGACACTGAGGAGGGTTGCACTCAGTTCTGTTGTGTAGTGTATTTCTGTGGTGCTGCTGCCATCAGTCGGCAGTAAGACGACAACCTAACCCCCTGGAGCCACGCAGTGGTGCAGGTTTGAAGGCTCCTGGCAGTGGGACTAGAGGCTTGACTCTGCCAGTAGGAATAAAACCGCCGTGTAGCGGCCGTGCGTTACGTCAGGGTCTGTAGAAACCCTGCACTGCTCTGAGCTGACCTTTGATGAAAGCCATGTGTTTGAGGTTGTCTTTCTCTCTCCCATCAACAGAACAGCTCGGTCCTGTCACATGTGAGTTAACTCTCCCTCACTCTTCCTCCCCACCTGCTTCTGTCATCACCTCTCCCCCACCCCCCCACTGGAGCACACTGTTGTGGAAGTCCCTTTATGTCGAGGGCAGAGGTGCCGTGTCTTGCCAGCCAATAGGAAGTCGGGAGGAAGTTTGTCTGCAGATCAGTGGCAGCCGTTTTGTTTTTGTGAAAAACTCAGCCAGACAATGGTCAGACAAGGGGGGGGGCTCTCTGCTGGGAAAAGTACCACAGCAGGTTTTGGTTTAAGAAATGGTTTTATATGTCTGGTTCAGTTTTTCACAATCTGTTCTGTGTGCGTCCAAAGTTTAACTGTGCTTTTTCTTATTGCTTTAAAAACTTGCTTTGGCATCATGTTCAGTACACACCCCAACACACACACACCGGTATACAGAGTATGTTTGTCTAACACACCTGTGAGCAGCTGTTGGGAGGTTTGTTCTTACCAAGAGGCTCAGCCGGTCTGTGCAGCTTAAAATGAGTTTCCTTCAGTCTGCGATCTCGCTCTGAAACGGTTCCCAGACATCTTTTTAGACCTTCTCACACAGCAGAAAGCCACTTTGACTTTTTATGCTGGTATTAATCTCATCATGTAATCCCAGCTTCACCAGTCGGTGCACTGGCATTTGTGGATTTTAAATGACATCATTCTATGTTTTTGCTGGATGGTGATCATTGGCCACATAGGTGGAAATCCCACTTGTGTACAAAAGTTATTTGAAATTTATAGTCGGTATAGTTAAAGTAGAATTTAAAGGCTGACGCTGGCGATTTTGTTATCCCCCCCCCATCCCCGTCCAGAGACCAGCAGCACCAGTGAACGTGGTGTCCTCACCATAATGTGTGTGAGTCCAGACCCTGGTCCAGCTCATCGTTCTGTGCCGTAGACCTCCACTGTTGTCCACCAGTTATTTAAACCCCCCAGTGAGCCACACCGCTGCGCTGGGGGGGCAGGTTTCCTCCTCAGGAAACACAGGAGGCGTCTGTTTCCAATGAACAGCTCCAACACATTGTTCTGTGCAGTGTGAGGAGCTGGTGGAGCAGCGTAAACGGAGCAAAGATCAGTGGCCGTCTTCCTTCAGAGACCACATTCATTGTTGCTTCTAGTCTCTGGATGCAATGTGGGGTTAATAACAAACGCACCAAATCCCTGCTCATTGTTTAAATGTTCTCCTGTAGCTGAAGGACAAAGTGTTTTGTGCTTGGGTCAATCTGCTCTGGGTGAAAGGTGGTGGGTTCCTGATGACGGTCATGGGGTCTTTGTATCTGCAGATTTGGGCACTAACCCAGCATTATATGTGGGGGTGAAAGGCTTGGGTGTGATGTGTGTTGCTGGGCTGTGTGTGTGGTGTTGCTCCTTTTATCGCTGTTGTTTTATGCATCACGTTCTCCTCAGAAGTAAGTACATCATGGATAAATTAACACTATCATTAGTAGAAGAAGAAGCAAGCTAATCTGTTTCTGACATTAACAACCTTATAAATGAAATGGTAAATCATAAGGACGTTCCCATGATGCACCACAGTCAGTTATCTGTTCTAGCTGTGAGATCAGAACCACGGCTGAGACTTCTCCTGATTTAACTGTAAACATCAGTGTACTTTAAATCGGGCTCTGCTCGTTTCTTCGTGTCCTGCAGGGGGAGCTGGAGAAGCAGCTGCTGCAGGCTAACCCCATCCTCGAAGCCTTTGGAAATGCCAAGACTGTCAAAAATGACAACTCCTCCAGATTCGTAAGACTCAGTGCTGTGCCTGCTGCTTCACACCTGTGATAACCTGCCTGCTTCCACGTGGACCCCTCTGCCTTTGTTACATGTTTTCTTTCCTCCTTTAGGGAAAATTCATCAGGATCAACTTTGACGTCAACGGTTACATCGTTGGTGCCAATATTGAAACCTGTATCCCTGATTCTCTCTGGATATTGCTTCCCTTTTGAACTGAGGCGCCTGTGGTGCTTGTTTGGCTTTGTTTTAGTGCTGGTATTTGTCTCACTATGGTTCACACAGAAAACTTGGCCTTAACAGACCCACCTCCAGACTTGCTGGAGAAATCGCGTGCCATCCGCCAGGCCAAAGAGGAGAGGACCTTCCATCTCTTCTACTACTTGCTCACAGGGGCTGGAGACAAACTGCGCCGTAAGCAGCACATTCCACATCAGTCAAGGATTTGCAGGGTAGAGGTGGTTGCAGTTTGAGGACCTGCAGAGACCTTCACCTTCTGGATTTCTAACCTCCTTTTAGCCACTGATCTTTTTCCATTTATTATTTTCTCTTAGGTGACCTCCTCCTTGAAAATTACAACAACTACCGTTTCCTTTCCAACGGGAACGTTACGATTCCAGGGCAGCAGGACAAGGATCTATTTACAGAGACCATGGAGGCCATGAGGATCATGGGTATTCCGGAGGAGGAGCAGCTGGGTAAGGCAGACATTTACTGCCCTTCTTAAAAGAACAGGCCAGAGGATTTTGTACATTGGTAATTTCCACAAATCCCATCCAGAAACTAAAAGCAACAATAACTTTGTGAGTCCAGACCCTGGTTTAGCTCATTGGTCTGCCCTGTAGACCTCCACTGTTTAAACTCACCCCAGTGTGCCACACCGCTGCACTGGGTGACTGGTTTCTTCCTCAGGGAACATGAGACACCGTCTGCTTCTAACATCCACCTCCATGGGCTGAGAACACCTTATCCTTTTAAATGGGTCTTGGCGTATGTTTACCTGCATATTGTCAAAGTAACTCCAAACCATACTGCTGTCTTGCTGTGCAGGCATGCTGAAGGTGGTGTCCTCTGTGCTGCAGCTCGGCAACATGAGCTTTAAGAAGGAGCGCCACACAGACCAGGCCTCCATGCCTGACAACACAAGTGAGTCGCACCTTAACCCTCTGCACCGTCACAGGTAGTGTGTGTGATGCTGCAGCTGTAACTTCACTCTCTTCCCTGTCAACTCCTCTGTAACAGCTGCCCAGAAGGTGTGCCACCTCATGGGCATGAATGTCACAGACTTCACCAGGGCCATCTTGTCACCCAGGATCAAGGTGGGCAGAGACTACGTCCAGAAGGCCCAGACACAGGAGCAGGCTGAGTTTGCTGTGGAGGCCCTGGCCAAGGCCACGTATGAGAGGATGTTCCGCTGGCTCGTCATGAGGATCAACAAAGCCCTGGACAAGACCAAGAGACAGGGGGCCTCCTTCATTGGCATCCTGGATATCGCTGGCTTTGAGATCTTTGAGGTAAATGAGAGGCGGACTGCGGATCACCTGCCTGTGAGACATTGTAGCACACAGCACAGTGAATGTGTTGGTCAGAAATGATACCAAATCTCAAAAGGATGTTTTCTTTTAATTTCAAATAATCACAGTCTGGCGAAAAGTCCTTGTTTTGTAAACCAAAGGTCACAGTGACTGCAGAAGGGAGAAGTCCCCGACATAGTCTAGAGGGTTAATGATCCAGAGGTACATTAGGGTGGAGCCCTGATGGTGGTGTTTCGTTATTGTCCCTGCAGCTGAACTCGTTCGAGCAGCTGTGCATCAACTACACCAATGAGAAGCTGCAGCAGCTCTTCAACCACACCATGTTCATCCTGGAGCAGGAGGAGTACCAGAGGGAGGGCATCGAGTGGAGCTTCATCGACTTTGGCCTCGACCTGCAGCCCTGCATCGACCTTATTGAGAAACCTGTGCGTTGGCCAGTTTCACTCACCTTTTCCGTTTCTAATTGGATGTTGTTGCCTTTGTAGTTGAATGTCTTTGTTCTTCCTCTGTTTCCTACTTCCTGTTTCATGCATTGAGTTCTGCGCTCGTCCTCTGTTTCCAGGCCAATCCCCCTGGTATCCTGGCTCTGCTGGATGAGGAGTGCTGGTTTCCCAAGGCCACAGATAAGAGCTTTGTGGAGAAGGTGCTGCAGGAGCAGGGCACACACCCCAAGTTTTTCAAGCCCAAGAAACTGAAGGACGAGGCAGACTTCTGCGTCATTCACTATGCTGGAAAGGTAAGCATGCATGATTTAGGTCTGAATGATTAGCATTTACCTTTTAAAGGACAGGTGAGCATCAGCCCAGTGCCGTGTGGTCTCAGATGTCCTGACAGCTCCTGCCTCGTGTTTCTCCTCAGGTGGACTACAAAGCTGGCGAGTGGCTGATGAAGAACATGGACCCGCTGAATGACAACGTGGCCACGCTGCTCAACCAGTCCACTGACAAGTTTGTCTCTGAGCTGTGGAAGGATGGTGAGCTCACATAGCTGTCACAGTGAACTAGGAGTCACTGCTGCTCCAGAGCTGGATATGGGGATCTATTTCATGTTGGCTTCCTGTTCTTGTTTTACATTTCTCTGTGTGGACCTATGTTTGTACCCTTTTTAAATCCAGTTTGTTGTTTGCATCTGTTTGGCCCCATTTTGTCTGTTTTCTTCCACTGGGTCTGAGGTACAGAATTGTCACCCTATTTTCATCAGTGTTTTCCTATTCTACACTCAGACTCAGGTGAAGAGGTTTCTTTTATTCAGCCTCTTCCCCCCCCTCCTGCTGTCTAAACACTTATTTCCACCATGAATCCTGTCGTCCATGGTGCCTCATCCTTTTCTGAGTTATCTTTCAGAAGATGTCACTGAATTCTATCAGTTGGTTCTGTTTCTTTAAAGCTGGCTATTTTATGTGTTGCTGTGCACAAACCCCGCCCAGAGACCAGCAGCACCAGTGAATGTGTCCAGACCCTGGTCCAGCTCGTTGCTCTGGGCCGTAGACCTCCACTGTTGTCCACCAGCTAATAACCCCCCACCCAGTGAGCCACACTGCTGCACTGGGGGGCAGGTTTCCTCCTCAGGAAACATGGGGCTCTTCCAATGAGTCCACCACGTTCACTGTTGTGGTCTCTGGATGGGATTTGTGCAAAATAAAAACGCACAAGACGGCCGGCTGTCTTCTGTTCGTCTTTCCTCTTGTTGCTCTGCCATTGAACTCTCCTTCTCTCCCTCTGTGCAATAGTGTTTTTTGGGGACTCCTGGTGTTGGTCATGGTACTGCAGCGATGGGTATATACTGCATGGGTTTGGATTCTCTTGTCACCACAAAGATACATGTCCACTGCAACCATTTGTCACCTTCCTGACACACACACATTTAAATGAAGCACCATACATAGTTTTCACTGAGAGGACTTCGAGGTCCCACTGCACTGAGTGTGTGTGTGTTTCGTTGTGGTGTTTGATCTTCCCACACTTCACCGACGTGTGTGTGTGTGTGTGTTTTGGTATCCTGATGTTTCCCTCCACATCCACTCTGTGTTTGTGGTGTCACTGCTCTGTCTCAACTCCCTCCCGGTGCCTGTTTACCAGGAGGCAGCTGAGAGACAGTGGTCATATTCATTCTTTCCTGTGACATGCATTTGGTTTGAGTTTGCTTGGTTAAATATTCAAAGTCATTAAATGAAAACCCACTGGCTTACTGCATAATGCCTTCCCTCTCTTTCTTTTTGTTTTGTTCCCTCCTTCAGTGGACCACATTGTAGGTCTGGATAAGGTGTCCGGCATGTCTGAGATGCCCGGTGCCTTTAAGACCCGTAAGGGCATGTTCCGCACAGTGGGCCAGCTGTACAAGGAGCAGCTGTCCAAGCTCATGGCCACTCTGAGGAACACAAACCCCAACTTTGTCCGCTGCATCATCCCCAACCATGAGAAAAAGGTACCAGAGGGAGAGATTTAACCGGGTCTAAGAACATTTTAAGGAAATTGGGAACCTCTGTGTCAAACGAACATTTCACTTAAGCCATGTTCACATCTCAGATCAGATGTTTCTGTCAGCTCTGATCTGTGTGCATCGCTGCTTCCCGTCCGTCTGTGTCAGTGCTGTGAACACCGCTGAGCTCTTAAACTGCCACACATGCACAGATGGAACTGAAATGTGAGCCACGTGCACACAAGAATAACACCCAGGTGGTGTGTGTGACAGTCAAATGGCCCAGTTTCCTCCCAAACCACTGGGTTACGATATGTTCCTCCCAGTTTGGCCTGATCAGAAGCTTCTCCATAAACGTCCTGGTCTCTCCACTGACCCCGTCGCTGTCGTCGCTCTCCTCCATGTTTATTGTGAGGGGCCGACGCCGAATGATGACGACAGGCCGTATGACCAGAGGAGGAGATGTTAAAACAACCACATGGATTCTGATCTGACTGTTCTGACGGCGCTGCACAGTCAGAGGTCGGAGAGGAGTCGGGTTTAGGAGCACATACACAGGTGGCCCGGATCTGGTCTGAGGACACCTGGTCTGTCCACCGCAGTGTGGACAGACCAGGTGTCTGGGAAACTTGAGCTGTGAACACTGCCTCAGTCACTTCACAAATAGAGCTGCTGTTCTCTCTGTTTTAATACACTGCTCATCAGCAAATGTTTTCCTTCCCCAGGCTGGTAAACTGGACCCCCACCTGGTTCTGGACCAGCTGAGGTGCAATGGTGTGCTGGAGGGGATCCGTATCTGCAGACAGGGCTTCCCCAATCGCATCGTCTTCCAGGAGTTCAGACAGAGGTAAAAGAGTAACCCTGTTCTCCGTGTGCCTTCTGGTTGGCAGGCGGGTGTGTGTTTTAAAAGTCATAGCTGATCATTTGCTCCTCTGCCAGGTATGAAATCCTCACTCCCAATGCCATCCCCAAGGGCTTCATGGATGGAAAACAGGCCTGTGTGCTCATGGTAATCAGTCTACAACATTCAAGCTAAGCTGTGCATCCTCTAGTTTCTAGTTGCCGTGTGAACGTTCAGCACGTTTCCTGTCTTGTCAGATCAAAAGCCTGGAGCTGGATTCCAACCTGTACCGCATCGGCCAGAGTAAAGTTTTCTTCAGAGCCGGAGTCCTCGCTCACCTGGAGGAGGAGAGAGACATGAAGATCACAGACATCATCATCAGTTTCCAGGCCTGGTGCCGAGGCTATGTGGCCCGCAAGTAAGAAGACAACGAGCACCATTTGAATGACAGCTTTTAAGAGCAATTGACACACTTTGACTCAAACTTGAACACGACTTTACTTCAATCTTAGCCTCCATATTGGCCAGGGTCCTGTTAAAACGTGACTTGTTGACCTTTTCAGGCACAGCTGAGCTATGTTTCACAGTAATCAAAGGAAAATACTTGACTATTTTGCACTGAACAGCATTATGAAGTGCAGCTGCCTGCAGTGGAACAGACTTGGGTCTAATAATAGTCTAACATTGGTTTATAGGGCATTTGCTAAGAGACAGCAGCAGCTGACTGCGATGAAGGTGATCCAGAGGAACTGTGCCGCTTACCTTAAACTCAGGAACTGGCAGTGGTGGAGGCTCTTCACCAAGGTGAACCTCACTGTCCTTCAGCATCGCAGCTGGCGTCTGAGCTACTGTGCTGTTCACGATGTTGCTTTTTCCCCTTGATAACTCCCACTGTTTGGCCACAGGTGAAGCCTCTGCTGCAAGTCAGCAGGCAGGAGGAGGAGATGCAGGCCAAGGATGAAGAGCTGAACAAGGTGAAGGAGAAGCACCTGTATGCTGAGCAGCAGCTCCAGGAGTTGGAGGACAAACAGCAGCAGGTAAAACACACGGCCTCTGTGTTGGGTTCACTTTCTGTCCTGCATCATCACATTGATAAATGTATAATGACCATTGTCCTTCAGTATCATTGACTGATGGATTCTTTGTGTGAATACTTGCAGCTGAATGCTGAGAAGATGGCCCTGCAGGAACAGCTCCAGGCAGAAACGGAGCTCTGCGCTGAGGCTGAGGAGATGAGAGCCCGTCTGGCTGCCAGGAAGCAGGAGCTGGAGGAGATCCTGCACGACCTGGAGGCCCGGGTGGAGGAGGAGGAAGAGCG